AAACTATAAAAGTCAGGTCGGGAGGTAGGGTATGTTTAGAAAAATCAGACCAGAGAATAAATTATGTATACACAGGTAATTGCGGCACTGACACTATTGGCCCGGAGAGAGTCCCTTCAAAGGGGACTTTACCTTTGGACTCATGAACTGCGTGAACGTGGTGCCCTTACTCATGGGGGCTGGGACTGATGGCTCAGTGTCACCCACACGTCTGTTCTCCTGCCCAAATTGCTAGAATAGGGCCAGTGGCTTGCTGGTCTCGATAGCTAAATCTTCCACTCATAGTTCTCAGCTTAAAGAACACAGCATAATAACCAAAGGGGATTTTTTCTTTTTTTTTTTTTTTTTTGGTTTTTTGAGACAGCATCTTGCCATGGTTGGCCTCAAACTTGTTGAGGTCCTCCTGCCTCAGCCTTCCAGGTGCTGGAATTATAGGCGTGCAACACCACGCCTGGCTACCAAGAACGAAGTTTTAAAAAGTACTGAATGGGTCTCCAGAGGGGGCAGGCACACGTATTGTCTAAAAGTTTCCTAGGAGAGAGCGGGTGGGGCCCAGACACACAGAATATATGGTTCCATGTTTTTGGAAGGATGCAAAAAAATGGCATCACAGTGGCTTTGGAACAAGGAACTGGACATTGGAACAGAGAAGGAGACCTTTCACCTCTCACCGTATATTCTTTCAATCCTTTGAAAATCCTACACATGTACACCTCAAGCAATCAAATAAACCGAAAAAACCTCCCCGGAGGCTCCGCTTTCGGGGCTCAGCCACCCAGACCCACTTTTCTTGGCTGAGGTGAGCACAGTTCTGCAAGGTGGACACTTTTTTTTTTCTTTTTGCAGATGTTTTCGCTAATAAAAATTTTCAGAGAAAGAACTTCAAAAGAACTGGACATAAACCCCGTGGTTCTTAACATTCTGCCAGTCACAGAATCCCCTCCTCGCGTTAGGCTCGGCGTCTCGCGTCAGGACCGTCCTTGATTCAGGGTTTTCATTTGGTGTCTCGGATGAGAGCAGTTGCCTGGCTCACTCAGAAGTAGAGGAAACTTGTCTTCCATGTCCTTCTGTCCCGTTTCAATTTGCACTAAGCACTAAAATCGTGAGCATTCATGTGTGACCAGACAGAACCCCAACATGACAACACATGCCTGTCAAAGTCACCCCGAGTCACACCTTCGAGCTTGAATGACCAAGCTGGCTGCACACACCTTGAAAAGCGTGGGGTGCAGAGAGGCAAGGGTCACCGGAAAAGGCTCACCAGCTCCACGGTGAGCAGGGGGACCCAACCTGCTGGGTCCATTGGTCAACAGCAAGATCGGGATGCTGGGTCCTGCACCTAGTGGCAGGCAACACAAGTGACTGTCTCCGCCGACCCCAACACACTCAGAAAACAGAAATGTTTTTTTCTTATAACAATTCTTCCAGATTGGGTGTTGGGTAATGCACACGCGCGCGCGCGCACACACACACACACACACACACACACTCTCTCTCTCTTAAATCTTCCATCCTCCAAAACATCCAAATGCAAGAAACATAAATTATCTGTCCTTAAGACTCAAGGTTACACAAATTAGGAACATAGCACAACTAGGACAAGTAGGATTTAAAATGTATCTTGCCCTTATTTTGTAAAATAGGTATGAAGGAGTAATTAAAATGAATTTTTGAAATTTGGGTCTTTGACAAGTTGATGATTATTGCATTTTGGAGTTGCAACAACATTAAAACAATTTCAATGGTTAAAAAAAAAAAAGACTTAGGTTTCATACTGATTTTATTTATTTATTTTTTTTAAGAATTCATTGTTGGAGCCAGGGATTTAGCTCAGTGGTTCTGGCACCTGCCTCACAAGCGCAAGGTCCTGAGTTCAATCCCCAGTACCAAAAAAAACCAAACAATTCATTGTTGCCTGGTTCACACATCCGGTACACAGAACCCTTTTTATTTTTTTAAATTTTTTTAGCTCTTAGCATACAAAGATTCTGCAGAAATAGTTAAGCACCAACACAGAAGTCTCTCCTCCTACCCCTGCAGTAAGTGATTTTGACAACTGCCAGGCAGAGGCGGTCAGATGAATCTGGAGGGGGTTCAAATTCACAGGCTCCCCACTCCCAGGCCAATGGCCATTCAGAAACACCCAGAACTGAGGTTCTGAGTGAGCAATTTTGCTCTGAGGTTCGTTGTCTTTGCTTGGTTAAGGCACTTCTCAAATGACCAATATGAAATTAATCAGGGGTCTCTGCTACTCCGAATGGTTTTACACTGATTTTTATTTACCTTTTTTTCTATTAAGTTTGTCCCTGAGTTTTAGAAGTAAAATGATCCTGCAAAGGAAAAACATCTCCATAAAGAAATTTACCAGTCAAGATAGAATGTGACTATAAAAATTTGTAGCACCACACATACAATGGGAAACTACATGGAGGCAAATAAGGGGAAGCTGGGTGTGGTGACACATACCTGTCAACTCAGCACTCAGGAGGCGAGGCAGGAGGATTGCCATGAGTTTGAGGCCCACCTGGGCTACACAGTGGAGTTCAAGGCCAGGCTGAACTGCATAGCAAGGCCCTGTCTTAAAAAAAGGAGGAGTCTCATCTGTCTACTTGTTCAGCACATTTTCAGATGTGAGAAGAGCCAGGAAAAAGAGGAAGAAACCCACATCCTAAAGTCGGGAGAAAATCAGCAGCCCCGGGAAGTTCAACGCAGCCTTCTCGCCTCACCCACAGTCCAGCCACGTTCCTCTGGGCAGCATGGTCAGCTCCAGAGCTAAAGGATTTCGGAAAAGGTCAGCATTGTGGACTCGGCTCGAAACAAACAGCACGATGTAGACATACGCGGGGAGGCAGCCAGATGCCCCGGACAGCACGCGGCAGATGTGCGGAGCAGCACCGGAAGTGGGCAGAGCTGCATAGAAGACCCTGTCACTTCCCGGGGAAACACAAGTGCTCCTCTGGGCCGATCTGAATCTCGCGGTTCCCCAGGGACAGGCTCCCAAAGTGACCGGAACCTTGTGGTAGCCATGGCTTCCGGTTGCCATAAGCCTTCCTTCCACCGAAACCGAAACCCAGGCAGCCAGCACACTCCACGCGGAAGCCAAAACAGCCATGTGGTAGACGGTGTAAACCAGCCGGGGGGTGCCGAGCTTCCCCCAAAGCAGAAGCCCAGATACAGTTGGGTACAGAGGGACCTTAGTCCCCGTCGTTAATTGGTTCTGGCAGGTGCTCCTGGTACCAAAAATGATGAACTGGACAAACTGGGCCAGAAAGGGTAGCGGGTCACAAGGCAATTGACAATGACAAAATCTGGCTTGTGCATCAAGCACCAAAGACAAGTACCAGGGTGAAATGTATGCATCAAAATTCACGGAGTATCAGATTCAATGAGTTGCAAAGCAGTCAAGTACCAAGGTATGGCTGTAAATCGTAAGAAGACGATGGGAGGGAGAGCCGAAAAGAATCTCTAAGATTCTTAAGAGATTTAAGAAACAGGTTAGCAGCACAATTCTAACAGTTAAATCTTGGAAGCAGCCTGCATACCCATCTACAGAGGAATGCATGAAGAAAATGTGGTATTTATATCCAATGCAGTACTACTCTTCCATAAAGGATAAATTTGTAGGAAAATGGATGCACCTTGAACCACATTCAGTGAAATAAATCAGTCACAAGAGCTTAAATATCACATGGTTTCTCTTATATGAGAAACCCAAAGTATAAATAGAAAAATAAAGGATAGGTAATAGCAGCAGGGAGATAGATCTTTCTCAAATGGGAACAGGATCAAGAGATAGAAGGAGAAGGGAGAGAGGGAAAAGAGATGAAGAAGGAAGTGAGATGTGCTATGTACATGCACCAACTCCACACAAGGAATGTAAACATTACACACTGTAAACACGTACTAATAAGAAATAAATTGGGCTGGGGATTTAGCTCAGTGGTTTCACCGCCTGCTACGCAAGCACAAAGACCCGAGTTTGATCCCCAGTACCAAAAAAAAATTAATTAAGAAGCAGGTTAACCAATGACAAATGTATGAATCTCATTTGTTCCTTGACAAATAAACTACTAAAAATGTATGAGCCATAATAGGAGAAAATTGAACACTGACTGGATATTTGATATTAAAGAACTAGTTTTTATATGGTAACACATGGCATTTGTTATGTGATCCTTTTTCATGATTCCACTCCATTGAGATATTACATTTATGAATGAAATGATGCCAGGGAATTGCTTTGCAGGAATCTCGGAGGAATGGGGATCTAGAAGAAACTAGACGGCCACGAGTTGAAACTGCCTGAAGCTGATTTGTATCTGGGGTTTGTGTGCTGCTGTACATTTCATTCTGCATGACAGAAATTGAAAATAAAGAAGCAAGTGTCTCCAGAGGGTGAGGGGTCAGTGCCTCGTGTACACCTGATCTTGTCCGCCCAGATGCCCTCTCCTCGCCCCAGCATCCTGGTGCGCCCTGTGCACATGGAAAGCCTTCTTCCATGCAGTTGGCTGATGAGGAGTCTGGGAGCAGACTTGGGAACAGCAACTGGGGTGACCGGGACACCTGTGCGAGGAGGCTTCACGATGTCTCCCAGCTGTGATGAGGTTGTCACCCAGGCTGCAGGAGGGTTCTGCAGGAGCAGGGGCCATGCAGGGGCCGGAACCCAGACCCACAGAAAGCAGAGGAGGCAGGCACTGCCCAGGAGGCTGCCACCACCTCAAGTCAGGACAACAGAGGGATTTGAGGGACACTCGGGTTCCTGATCCTCACACCAGACCTCCCCTCCCCATGACCAGAAAGATGCTGAAGTCAGCTAATACCCAAGCACACATCAAAGAGAGAGGCAGGCAGAGCCTGGGACTGCTTCTGGCTACCACTGAGATGCGCGTTCTAACAGCTTAATGGGTGAGCGAAACCCTTGCCAAAACAGAATTAAAACAGTTGAATTCATCGACGCACAATCGTCATACTTCTGGATGAACAAGAAACGTTCGCAAGAACAAAGTTATAATGCTTTAATAATTTAAATAGAACCAACTTCAGAAACACACAGGCACATACATAAAATTCAAACACACACTATAATTTGCACAGTACATTTAAATCCATCAAATTCTTTAAAATCCCCCAAAATGGACTTGGTGTCAAGGACATGAAGAGGTAATTTTGAAGGGCTACAGACCAGAGTAAAACAGACAAGGCCACTCCTTTGCATTTACTAATGAGACAACAACCCATAGACACATCAGACTTTTGTAAAGAACACCTCTGAGGACTGTCGGGGCAAGGGGTCATTGGAAAGGAACACAAACGTTCTCAAAAAGGATGAATTTATAACTCAAGATGTCTTTGGTCCTCCAAGTCACACTTGTTTGTACTTTAAAATACTAAACATGAGTTGAATGCTTGCAATTCTACCTAGAAGTGGCTAAATACTAAGCCGGCTGTTTATACCAGGTTAGATTTTAAAAGGAACTGAAAACCAGCCACCACTGTACTTTAGAAACTCCATATATAGAAAGGCTAGGGAAGAGATTTTTGTAGTAGAGGTTTTCAAAAACAGAAGCAAACAAAGAAAAAGCCACCTCTGCCATCTGGCTTCACTGTAAGCAGAAGAGCAAATGGGTGGCAGACACAGGAGGGCCAGCAGGAAATCGAGCACTGTGGTGAATTCTGCTTGAAGAGTGGGCTGGCTTTGGAGAGCTCTATCTCAGCCAAATAAGAGGCTTTCTTGGGCTGGGGATGTAGCTCAGTAGCGGCACGCTTGCCTGGCAAGTGCAAGGTCCTGAGTTCAATCCCCAGTACCAAAAAAAAAAAAAGAGGCTGGGGCTGGGGATGTAGCTCAGTGGTTCTGCTGCCTGCCTCGCAAGCACAAGGACCCGAGTTCGATCCCCGGTACCAAAAAAAAAAAAAAGAGGCTTTCTTGGGGAGCAATGATGCTCATGTTTGATAGGGGACTTAGGGGTTGGATGCGGCCCACACTGCCCCAGTGAGGCAACTCTTAGAGAACGAGTAATAAGGCATCAGCTTCCTGGACTAAAGTCCTTGCTCCCCTGAACAGCAGGGCTGAACTCGAGCCTGAGGGCGGGACAGGACAGGTGCAGAGCCCAGGGTGCAGGCAGTCACCAGCATGTGGCTGGGCAGGGGCCAGCACGGGGCCTTGTAAAAAGCTTAGACAAAATAGCTGATAAGATCCAAAGGGAATGTGTGGAGGCCTCTACATGGAACATAGATTAAGAGCCTATGAGACTTCTCGAGAAACTTGGTGGCGACTGCTTCTGCAGGGTCAGTACCAAGCCTCATAGAAGAATGGCTTTGAAGAAAAAAGGCAAAGGTGTCTACACTCCAACTGGTATCATATTCTCATCAAGGCACAGAGAGTTCAGTGTCTAAGTCCCTGTGTGTGTGACAGGAGAATAAACTCGTAAACAACTTCAGGAACTAATTTCCTGCACTTGAATTAAAAAAGAAGAGAGGGTAGAAGTGTGCCTTGTTGGAACTCACAGCAAAATAAACAGATCTCCCACCACCTTCCCTCGGTGACTACATCACACGGGACAGCTCATAAATCTATAACACATGGTGCCCCAGTGGGTTAACAAACACGATCGGAATCCACGCAGCAATCCTGTCTGTGACAGACCATGTCAGCACTTCAGATGTTCCACGCTTCTGTCGGAGGAGGAGGAGGAAAAAGCAGTGTTTTGGCCGCGCTCCTGGATGCTCCGATGCTGCTGGGTCAGATCACGAGAGGATCCCAATGCCATGGCCACACACGGGTCCTCCTCCTTCCAGCACCCTCAGGCATCAGACCAGCAGCGATTTGTGCACACAACCTAACACTATCCACAGTCCACGTTAATACTGCCACTAAAAGGTGGCAAGAAGAAAGTAGAGGGCTCACCTCTTTAGTAATTATTTTTATTTGACCTCCTATAAATAATTTTTAAATACAATTAGTGACAAGTTCACATCTGTAACATCTGGAAATGGAATGTGTACAACGACGACGAAGACACAGTGCCACTGGCAGTGGGACCCACAAGCCGGCCTCCCTCAGCTTTTGATGAGGGTCAGGAACTCTTCTCGAGTCTTCGGGTCCTCCCGGAAGACGCCCAGCATCGTGCTGGTCACGGTTTTGCTGTTCATTTTCTGCACCCCTCGCATGACCATGCACATGTGTCTACAGGAGACAACAAAGATGTAAAGGAAAAGACAGTGCTGGCCGGTTTTTTTTAACAGAACAGACTGAAAAGTCAACCTCGGTTCAGTTACTGTGTCAAAATATCCCTCCTTAGACATTACCTAAAACCTTTTTTGTGGCAGGGTTTGAGATGCGGGCCTTGCTATGTAGTCCAGGCTGGCCTCGAACTCACAGTGATCCTCCCACCTCAGCCTCCCCAGTGCTGAGTTTACAGGCATGCACCACACCAGTGAGTTAAAAAATAAATTTTAAAAGAACTTTAAAAATAATAAATTTTAAAAATAATAAAACACTTTTCTTTTTAAAAAGTATCTTCAGTTGCCCTTTGTACTAATTCTTAGTTTTTACTCTGTTTTTCAAATGTGGAACAAAGATTAGAAACTGATTGGCCCAACAAAAGACTAATAAACAAAAAAAGAGGGGTCGGGGATTTAGCTCAGTGGTTCTGCTGCCTGCCTCGGAAGTGCAAGGTCCAGAGTTCGATTCCCGGTACAAAAGAAGGAGAAGGAGAAGAAGAAGAGACATAAAATGTCACTGGTTACACAAATCCTTACAACGAGGATGCCCTAATCTGTCTAGGATTCATTCCCTCCGCCTCCACTACCCTCGGAGGAAAAACCTCTCTCACACTCCGGTTCCTGGCTCAATGGGGGTCAGCAGTGGCTGGCATGTGGCATCAGCTGTGCCCCGGGATGGCACTGGAGCGGGTCCCGACTTACGTGGCTTCTACCACCACCCCGACTCCTGCGGGCTGCAAGGCTTCGGTGATGGCCACGGCGATCTGCTTGGTGAGGCGCTCCTGAACTGCGGGGTGACGGGCTCAGTTAGGAGTCGGAGGCGACAGTAGGCACGTCGGTGTGTGCGCGCGCGCGTGTGCGTGTGATGTTTAAAGCTTAAAAAGCAGACTGCTGTGACATTGAAGAGCCACAACATGCCAGCTTTCGCCAGTTGCTTTGTCTGCTGGCCAAGCCACCAGGAGCCCCTTCCAAACCCTTCACCTGAAGAGTGGGAAGGATGCAGCCACCTCCCGTGGGGAAGGAATTACATTCCCCGGGTCTGGAGCAACCACAGAGACAGAGTGGAGCGATTACACAATCAGCTCGCAAGAGGGCTAACAAAGGGGCTCATTATTGAGTTGCCAAAAGCTAACGATTTAACGTAAATAATACAGTCCCTTGTACTGACAAAATAACTTGCTTTGAATACATACAAGAGGGTTCGCTGAAGCGTGCACTGGCCTCAAACAGACAAGCCCCACCCCCGCCCACCAGCGCAGCGATTGGCTGAGCCAAGCCGTGACACAGCCAATGGAATCCAACAGCCAAATGAATGAGATGGAGGGGGAAATGTTTAAGATCTGTTAGGTGGAAAAAAAAAACTGGGAAAAAAGAAAGTGTGGCCAACCATGTGTAATATGAGCCGATTTTGTTTAAGTATTCATACAAATAAGCTGCTTTGAAAAGGTCAGCCTACGCATGGAAATGGGAAGAAATGTGTAAATACAACTCATTGTTTTTCTGTAGGTTTGAAACAGACTCATGATCCTACCGGGTTTTAATTTCTATATCACAGTCATTAGACATGTAATATAACAAAAATACTTTTTCTGTAAGAAAAAATATTTTATGTAATGAAATAAAGGCTGTAAAAGTTTACCTTGTAGTCTTCTGCTATAGATTTCTACAATTCTGAAAAAGAAATTGTTGTAGTCAATCATACATTAAAGTGAAATGGCTGAGACTTCTTCAGAAGACATAAAACAATAGTGGGGTATAGGCAGGAGATAATACATGGAAAGAGAAGCCACAAGTCCCCAGGGAGATGGGGTCTAACGGGAAGCCAGCAAGGACTATGCAAAACCGAGAGAAGAGGGGAAAGGGGAGAGAGAAACCGGGTGCATCTCTACAGTGCTGGCTTACGAAAAGCACCATTCAAGATGAGTAGCAAAATCTTAAAACTCTCAAGTCAGTCATCAAGTTTAGGCTAAGTCTCAAGTGCTCTGATTAATCATATTGTTTTATCAGAGCTTAAAGATCACGTTAAAAATAAAAGGACTACTTGTTAATTACCAGCAGGTCAACTACTACCCCAACTAAACGTACCAGGGTAATCAGATTAGAACAGATTAGATTTCTCCAGACATCTCTTTATAAGATGGGTTTGTAGAAGTGCTTTGTATGATTAATCTCCCCAGAATAAATGCCTCCTGGCCCCCACCCCCAAGAACTCAGCAGCAGGCACCCCTGGGCACTACCACTCAGACAGGCCGTCCCCTGAAGTCAGGGGCATTTGGACTCCTCTTCCTGTCCCCACTGTGCACACAACAGGCAAGGAATTAACTATTAAACAGGAACCTAGGACAGGATGATTCTCAGGCTCATAGGTAGGAGTTAGATTTCTTATTGGGTCAATTTTCTGTACTCATTACTCCTGGTGGTTTTCTGGTGATTAATTTGTTATATAAGCAGGAGGTGTCATTGGTTTTAAAAGTTTAAGTATTTCTTTCACATATTCATTTACCTCTCTCATTTTTCTTTTTTTAATTTATTCTTTCTTTCTTGGAGACGGAGTTGTGATATGTAATTCAGGCTGGCCTCGAACTTGAGGCAATCCTCCTGCCTCAGCCTCCTGAGTCCTGGGGTTATAGGCATGCACCTGCATGCCAACTCGTCCTTTTTTTCTTGAGTCGAATTTTGGATACAATATTGGACCACAGTGTTAAATGCATTGCAACAGGAAAGCTTCTAATACTTCATGATCACAATGGTGCCTGCCTGCTTCCGGCAGACAGCGGCTGCTTGCAGGTCAAGCATGTCATCCAGGCAGATTTTTGTTACAGGCCTCTGTGATCTCAGGAGAACACATCCCCGTCCTCAGAGCTTATCATTTCTCCTTCCTGGTTGTTTCTGTTTTCAAGTAAGGACTGAATTATACAGCTTTTCTGAATTAAAAATCTTTCTTTTGCCCTCATTCTTAAATGAGGATTGCTCGAGAGGTATCTGCTGAGGATGGAATTCTAGTGTGATATCGACAGTCATCTGTCTTTCAATACTGCTGCTGCCACAGCCATCACCAGTGGACCTGAGGCTTTTCTCAGGGTGCAGGAGACCCTCGAATTCAATTCTCTCCCATCTTCCGCTTGCCTGTGTTATATTCTGCACAATCTCTTCAAACCTTTCTTTCAGTTTACTATACTTTCACCTGTGCCTATTCTGCTAGGTAATGAGCCTATTACTCTTGGATGTCACTTATCATATTTTTGTCTTTATTTCTAGAAGGTACATTTTTGTTTTTGTTTTTGTTTTTGGTACCGGCGATTGAACTCAGGACCTTGTGCTTTCGAGGCAGGTGGCAGAACCACTGAGCTAAATTTCCAGCCTAGAAGGTACATTTGGTTCTCCTTCCAGTTGACCTGAAGGCTTCTGACTCCTTGGTCAACCATGAGCACTCTTACTTTTTAATATCCTTGTCTAGAGCTCTGCATCTGATCACCCCAGCACCTGTGCTCTGTCCACGTAGGGCTTGCTTTCTCTTACTTTGGGAAAATCGTGTTCCCTGGAATTTCATTTGGGAGAATTCTTAGAAGCCGGATGAAAGATTGGGACTTCATGGTTTGAGCACTGACACTTAGCTCTGCACGCTGCCTGCAAAGTCACCTCTCTGGGCTGCCGTAACTAAGTCACTGCCTTGGGATGAGGGGGGCACATGGTGCAGGATCCAACCCAGGGTTGGGCCTGCTCTGCACTGAGCCACATCCAGCCCAGCCCAGAGCTTTCTGAAGGCCCCATGGGCAGTGGTGACTCTGACCCCAACCCCTGGGACTGACACAGGCCTGGGGCTCTGTGGGGACAGTGTGGACAGGGCCCAGACTCGGGGCCCGTGCAGCCAACCCCTGTGGCCTCTCACCAGTGTCACCATCTGTCCCCATGGGGAGAATCAGGCCCTTCACCCCACTCTGGGCATCAGCAGCTGCTGTTGATTTTAAAAGAAGCCACTGTTGCACTGGAAGAACCATATTTGGGTTTGAAAACAGTATTGGAACTAACAAGTTACAGTCAACTTCTGGCCATTCAGAATTTTCACAACTACATTCATAACTGAGACTGATCTACATGCTAGCAGGCTTTACCCAGCTCGGCTGTCAGGAAGGGGCAGCTTCCTCAAATAAGCCGTGTAGCTTTAAAGATTCTTCTATGCTCGTGAATGATTAAAATAACACAAAAACCAACGGTTACTTGCAAGTATGAAAGAACATCTCTAATACTGACTGAGTCCCAACCAAAACATGGGCAACTGAAATGAGCAGACACTTTTCAGAAGTACAGGTGGCAGGGCCAGTGATTTGGCTCAGTGTTGCCAGCACCTGCCTTGAAAGCGCAAGGTCCTGAGTTTGATCCCTGGTGCCAAGAAACACAAAAAAAAGAAGTACAGATGGCAAATAAATACACGAGAAAATGTTCAGCACCTCTGCCATTAAGGAAATACAAACCACAACAACACTAAAATCCAGGTGTGGTGGCACACGCCTGTAGTCCCAGCACTTGAGAGGCTGAAGGAGGACTGCCGCGAGTTCGAGGCCAGCCTGGACTACATAACGAAATCCTTCCTGTCTCTAAAATAAAAATAAACAAACAACCCCACTGAGATTCCATTTTACTCCAGAAAGAATGGCCATCATCAAGAAATCAAATAATAAAAAAATGTTGGCAAGGCTGTGGGGGAAAAGGAAACTAAATCAGTATGGAGATGCCTCAGAAAACTAAAACAAGAAATTCCATTTGAGCCAGATATCCTCCCCAGAGTCTTAAAGACATCATATTACAGTGATCCATGCACACCCATGTTCATAGTGGCACAACTCACAATAGCTAAATCTTGGAAGTAGCCTGTATGTCCATTAACAGATGAATGGATAAAGAAAATGTGGTATTTACACACAATGGAGTACTACTCTGCCATCGAGAAGGATAAATTTCTGTAGGAAAACAGATGCACCTTGAGACCATAATGTTAAGGGAAATAAATCAGACACACAAGCTTACATACTGCAACCCAAAGTATAAATAAGTTAAAGAGCAAAATAAGATATCATATGAAATAGGGAGATAGAGCCACTGCAAATAGGAGATGGAGGGAGGGAAAGGCAAGAGGAGAAAAGGAGAATGAAGACGCATTGCGCACTCGTAGCGCCTCCCCCACATGACGCTGTGTGCTACAAACGTGCTAATAAACATAAAACGCCTACAAGTGGACCGGACTGGGTCTTTCCCTTTCCCATCTCGCCCCCTTTTTAACAGTCACTTGCACATCCAGGTTTCCTAACTCACCGGGTTCCCTTTCCTCCATTCCCGTAACATCCCTGAAGTGTCCGAGGCCTACTTCCAGTTCCACAGCCTTCCGTTCCCACCTGTCACCACGTGTCCTCTCAGGCCAACTTTGCAGCAATCCCTGCTACAAGGTTTTCACCTCTGGGACCTGTGATTTCTACTCTCTGGGGGTTTCCTAAATTATTCAAAAGTTTGGATTTTACCTTAAAAGCCATGGGAGACGAAGAGGAAGAGCAGGATTAAATCCACGCTAGGGAAAGAACACAGGAACAGATTTCAGGACCCTAAGAAGGCAGAGGCAGGAGAGTCTCCGGGCAGAAGATGAGAGGAGTCCTGCAGAGACTGAAGGAAGCCCAGAGGGACGGGAAGGGGCGCTGCCTGCAGCAGGGCCCGCTCGGCCTCACCCCTCACCCAAAATATAGTATTTACAGTGTAGCAAAGATCAGGAAGTGAAAACGAGGCCAAATAAATACCAAAAAAGGAGAGCGGGAGGGGGTGTAAGAAGAATTAAGATGCGCTGTGCATATGCACCAGCTCCCCACAATTAAAACATACCAAACAATGTCTGACTATAGAAGTCTTACATTGCTTAATGGGGAAATAATACTGCAAAGCAGAACCCAAGACACCTGACCGTGTGCAGCACCCGACCAGAATGCGTTAACACCACGAGACGGCGGAGGGACCGGGAATAAAATGCGAGCGAAAAATAAAAAGCACGCGAGCAGCAGGACCCTTACCATCGGGAATGGCAGAGGAAACCCATGGTGCAGTTGTCCTTGTGGCCATCAGAGAAATAAACAGAGCGCGTGTGGGAGGAGGGAGGGGCACAGGGGGATTTGGCACTGGCTCCGCAGAGGTCAGCACGGTCAGGCAGGACCAGAAAGGCCCGGCCATGCCACCACCAGGCGTCTACCCAAAGGAAACAGCCGGCGTGCAGAAGAGGCGCCTGTTGCACACTTTATCTCAGCCCTCTTCACAGTACCCAAGCCAGGAGGGCAGGCTGGGTGCATCAGCAGACGACGGATAAAGAAAAGACAGTATTACACGGTGGAGTACTACTCGGCCATGAAGAAGGTGACACTGTCATCACAGGGAAATGGACAGAATGGGAGAACACATGAAGGGGAGTAAGCCAGACACAGGCAAGTGTCGACTGTCTCCTCTCATGTGTGGAGACTAAAAAGGAAGGGGTGACAGTCAGTACCCCTGAGGGCACCTGTGGAGGCAGAGATGAGAGGGCACTCCCTTTGGTACTTTCTGTCTCTGCGGCTCTAAAAAATTGAAATTTAAAAAGAGACAAGCAAGCCAAAGGGAAATTAGAAAATTTCAGAAAGAATTCAACTTCGCCCTATTAGAGAAACCCAAATTAGGCTGGAGGTGAAGCCCCACGGTAGAGGTTTCCTGGCACGCACGAGGCTCTTGGTTCAACAGGAAAGGAAAAAGGGAAACTCAAAAAATAGAAAAAAGAAAAAAAAAGGGGAAACTCAAATCAGTAGATACCATTTTTCACTCAGCATCTGGCAAAGTTGTAGAAATGTTATGAAAGCCAGTGTTAGCAAAGGTGTGGGGAAGACACAGTGTTGATATATTTCATAGCAGAAGTCAGCGTGATCTTTCTGGACCACAATTTGGTAAGACCCGAAATTCAGCCACCCTAACCTAGAAAGCTCTATTCTGGTAATTTATCTTACAGGCAGATTCAAAGTGTGCAGAGGTAATATATAAAAACATATTTGCCAAAGCAATCTTTTCCTTTGGACAACAGTCTCAAACTACAAATGATTCTTATCTATATCAAAGATTGGCTAAGTGAATCTACCCATCCATTGAAGGAATATTATATAACCCTCAAGAGATCATTGGATACTCTTGACCTTCCAGGAACCTCAAGGTATTTAAAATCAAAGAGGGGGTCAGGGACTTTGCTCAATGGTTCCAAGGCCTGCCCCGAAAGCGCAAGGACCCAAGTTTGATCCCCAGTACCAAAAAAAATTAAATTGGGCCGGGAATTTAGCACAGTGGTTCTACCACCTGCCTCATAAGTGCAAGGACCCAAGTTCAATCCCTGGTACCAAAAAATAAATAATTAAATTAAATTAAAGAAAAAAACAAGCTGTATTATAGCATATAGGGCATAATCCCTTTGGGGGTTTGTTATGCTAGGTTTTTAAAAATTATACATATACAGGGCCAGGGATTTAGCTCAGTGGTTCCGCCGCCTGCCTCGCAAGCGCAAGGTCCCGAGTTCAATCCCTGGTACCAAAAAAAACCCAACAAAAAACCAAAAAAACTATATGTATATATTTGTGTTTGCATAGATATTTTCCAAAAGGTTAATAAAAGAAGTATCTATAGTTCTAATTCTGAAGAATTTAAATAGGCAGGGAAAGCTTCTGTTTTATTCATTCATTGATATCTAACTGGTTTAGATTTTTTTGTTTTTGAGACAAGGCCCCCGCTATGTGGTCAGCCTTGCCTTCACCTTCTGGGTTCAAGTGATCCTCCTGCCTCAGCCTTCCAAGTAGCTAGGACTACGGCCACATGCCACCTTCCTGGCAGTGTATTATTCCTATAATAGAAGAAAATAAAATAGGATGTTCCCTCTGTAGTCGAATGCCCACCTTGCCTTCCTCTGCGGTCTCCCAGTCATCCTTGCCTAAATCTTTAAGTCCATCCATGAACCTGGCCTCAGCAACTGCGTAACTGGGACAGCGCCTCCCCCCACCATCAGCCTCTGCGCATGCGCCGGCCACACCCACAGGCGCTTCTCACCTGTCTGGGTCTCTCATCCCTGTCCATCTTCCGAATTCAAGATTTCAAGATTTCATCACATTCCTTCAAGTACTCTAAGGCAACGAAACAAATTCCGTGGCTCTTTACCAACACAAGGGGTTTCTATTCCAACTAAGTTTACTCTTGGACTCTCCCAGTTGAACCCGGCCAGCTCCCGCCTGGCATTTTGCTGCTGCTTAAGCTTTTCTGCCTGACATTTGACTGCACCGGCACTGAAAGGTCATCCGTTGGAGACAAGCAGCGAACAGAGCTCACACACAAGATTAAAACGAGCAGGGAGGCTCGGCTAAGATGAGCAGTCTGCTTGGTTACTCTTCGCTCCTTAAATATTCCTAGTTCTCGGAAGCAATGGGCAGCTGGATCAGCCCTTCGTTCCTTTTCTGTTTAACAGACCCTTGGTTCCAGGCTCTGACAGAACACCTAATAGCGTACAGAGTGGTTTGGTTTGCGGTTACGATTTCTTCTCAAGTTTTAATCTTATTAATGTAAACAACTCCTCGTGGGGATAAGCAACTCCTTTGTGCTGCTGCAGGATTGATTATTTGAGACCTGTTCCTGTTCCTGGGAGAGGAAATGCTTGGGACCTCTGACTCCTGCATCCCAGGCCTGTGACCCCCACCCTCCGCCTGTGTGCGCAGGCAGTGTGTGGAGGATGCTGGGGCGCAGGGTGTGGGGTGGCCTGGCCCAGCTGGCCCGAGCCCCCTGAAGTCTGAAGGAGCCGGGAGAAAGTAGGTGGGGAGCCGGGAGTCCATGGGAAGCCTGCGCAGTGCTGCCGAGGGAGGACGCAGCAGCACTGAATGCCCAGAATTCAGACTGAGCTCCAGAACTGTAAAAGTAACCGACTTCAATAGCTACTGCTATTCAGGGGCTCACGAACCTGATTTTACATATTACTTGGGAGCAAGTCCCCAGAGGGAGTGGCTACTTAAAATGACTGAGATTCACTGCCTGGATCAGCACCAAGGCCCTTCCTCAGCCACCCCTGGGCGCAAGAGGTGACAGCCCTACTGTGCAAAGCGCCTGGGCCAGGATCTGTCATCTCCTCCAGCACCCAGCAGACCTGCAAGCAGCGAGGGTGCTGAGCAGGGATGAGGCCAGGAAGCGAGGAAGTTCAGTGCATTTCCTCTACCTGCTCGCCCCTAAATTCCTAACACAGATGAAGGAGAAAAATGGAAGCAAAAACAAAGCAAAGGGAACAGCATGGCAGAGAGTGGTTGGATCCCTGGTGTGGTTTGTACAGATGGACACAGGACTGGAAAGGGTCGGGCCCTGGGGAAGGACCACAGCAAATCCCAGCGTCTCCATGGAGAAGTGGCAGGATAAAGAACCAAAAGGAAGACTGCAGCCGAGAAGAGCGGATCTGGAGAGCGCCCCGTGTCAGGGGACAGGGAGGTACAGCCCACAGAGCCCAGGGACCCAGAAGTGAGGACAGGCTCCTGGGTGCCCAGGAACCTGGGCACAGGTACAGAGGGAGTCGGGGTGGAGCCAGGCCCCCCAAGGAGCTGGGGTCAAAGTCTGAAAACAGAGACAGGCATTCAGGAGGCTGAGGCAGGAGGATCACCACTGAGTTCAGGGCAGCCCGGGCTACATAGTGACTTCAAGGGTGGCTTAAGCATAGGGAGATGGCTGCCTGTGTCTCCTCTCCCACCTATCACTGTTAACTGAGCCCCCTGAAACCTGGGCTGGATTGAAGGTCACCCCACATTCCCTGCAGTCAGGGAAGGCTCTACAGAGGAAGCTGCGGGTGAAAACTGCAAGTATGTGCCTGGGAGGCAGGGGATAGGCAACACAGGACGTGAGATGACAAGAGCACCCCCACTTCAGGACCAGTATTCTGACGCCTTGGTGACTGCACAGTCTTGGCAGAGGTATTCCAGACAAGGTCCCGCAATGTAAGCCAGACTTGACCTCGAACTCAATGATCCTCCTGCCTCAGCCTCCCATGAAATGGGGTTACACGTGTGCACCACCATGGCTGGCTGCAATTATAAATGTTCAGCTGCGACCTGAGTTCCAAGTTAGAGCCAGACCCAGGAGAGAGAAGGCTGGGTGAAGCGCTGGCAGTAGACAGGGCCGGTCTGATCGCCACACGCTCGTACTTACCTCGCCAGCTTGCTGAGGCCAAGGACTTGCTTGTTAGGGAGATAGCCGATGTGGACCTTCGAGAGGAGAGAGAACTCGTGAGCCAAAGGCAGGGAGAGCACTGGGACATTAAATACGGGAAGGAACACAGGAAGGGGACTGCATATTTACGTGTAAATTCAACATGATGACAATGTACCTTCAAAACATGTGAAGCCTTAAGACCTAAATGGAATGATGATGGGAATACTTCCTAAATTAAGTAAAGACAGTAAAAGGATGGCAAGTGTGGTGGTACACGCCTATAATCCCAGCACTCGGGAGGCAGAGGCAGAAGGATCACAGTGAGTACGAAGCCAGCCTGGGCTACATAGTGAGTTTAAGGCCAGCCTGAACACATAGTGTGACTCTGACTTAAAAAAAAAAAGTAAAGGGTTACTACACAGCACTTAGTCTGTTACAAATGACAACTGAAGCCAGGCACACACCTGTAATCCCAGGCTCAGGGGACTGCAGCAAGAGAGTCACGAGTTCAAGGGCAGCCTGGCTAGGTGGTCGAGGCAAAGCCAGCCTCCAAAAGCTCAAATGACACATGTAAAGCATGGCTGTGACACTCGTGCTAAAGTTAAGTTCTGCGTGTCTTTTGTCCATGGAGGAGAAACGTTCACAAGAAGGGACTCGGGACCCTTAGTGACATCAGACAGGCCAGAGAGACTGCTGCTGTGGCAGGAACTGCACGCCTCAGTGCTGCCTCTCGCCCAGCATGGTGGGCTCAGGACCCCAGGAGCCTTGTTGCACGGGGAGCTCAGTGCCCTTGGGGGCCTGGACACCTGGCTTCCAGCGAGCTCCATCACCCCAACAGGGAAATGGCTCAGCAAAACAGGCCCCAAGAATGGGTCCCACGGGGCTGTGCCAGGGGAGCCTGCCTGGCAGTGTAGGGGCACCAGTGAGGCCCTGGCTGGTAAATGCCAGCCACTTTCCAGCCCAGTGGTCAGTGTGAGGAAAGGCTAGTTCTCTTAAAAGCCTGTAGAGTGGGGCTGGGGGTTTAGCTCAGTGGTTCCGCCGCCTGCCTTGCAAGTGCAAGGTCCCAAGTTTGATCCTCAGTACCAAAAAAAAAAAAAAACCAATAGAAAAGCCTGTAGAGTGATTACTGTGAGCAGTCAATTAGCTGGACATAAAACTACAGGGCTGCAATCCCAACTATACTGGAGAGGGTGAGGCCAGCCTGGACAACTTTGGGAGATCCTGTTTCAATCAGATAGATGAGGGCTGGGGATTTAGCTCAGTAGTTTCACCGCCTGCTGCACAAGCGCAAGGACCCAAGTTCGATCCCCGGTACCAAAAAAACCAAAACAAAACAGATAGATGATAGACAGACAGACAAGAAGGTAAGTGGTAGAGTGCTTGCCTAGCATATATGAGGCCCTGGGTCCAGTTCCTTTATATTAAAAAAAAAAAAATCACATCCACACTTGTATAAAGACTGTCGATCTAAAGGCCCAGGGTATGCTGTGCACCTCCATGACTGACCTAAGAGTCCTCAGTAATCTTTCATCTACTAGAGCCATCCTGTAACAGTTCAAATTCCACCTCATCGCCTTCCTGGTAGGCAGGAGGAGAAAGGAAAGTAGTGGCTGAGTGTCAGATGTTTCAAAGAAAACCCGAAGAGTGAAAGCTTTCCCACAGGACTGAGGCCTTGCACATACCTGAAACTTTTATGCTTGTGTGCAGAGCTACAATGTGTTACAGTCAGTACTATTTTGGGCCTTTCTTAAGATTCCAATTCATTTAAATGTCCATTTTAGAAAATCATCACTGAACAATACATCTAAAGGTCAGGGTTAGCAAGGACATGAATGCAGCAGAAACTACTATACTACACACCTGAGCTCAGGATGAGGTGGGGCCCAGCCAGGCCAACAAGGCCCTATACTCACCCAATGGGAGCCTGACTTTCTCACCCACAATGGAGACCAGAGGGGGGGCCTACGGTCCCCCTCCTCCTCAGCCGATATGGCAGCCTCCTCCCAAGGGGACAGAATACCAGGTCCTCAGCCCCGTGTTCACCTCTGTCATCAGCATTCACCTTAGTAACATGAAGCTGTAACTAATCTCCTGACCAGAAATCCAGAGGGCTAAAGGAACCCGGAGGAAGTGAGGAGGGATCTCCATAGACACCCAGCCAGGGCCTCTCAACGGGAGAACTGGGTACGGGGTGGGGTGGGGGGCTGTTTTAGGGTAAAGAGACTTAAGAGACATCAGTAGATGGAATGGAAACACAAATGTGACTCTTAGCTGGGTTCTTGTTTCAGGAAATCAACAGTAAAACGAGAGAAAATCAGAAACATTTAAATATGGGTTACTTATTAATGCTCCTTAGAAATCACTGCTAATTTTGTTTGTGGTATTGCCACAGTGCCTAAGTAAGTTGAGAGATGGATATTAACTGATAGCATATGTAAATATTTTAGGGATGACAATGATTAAAAGTTGGCGGGCTGACTGTAACATACCTTATATTCCTTAATATGCTGAAGTACTGCTAACTTATTAGATGGCATCTTAAATTGGGTTTTCTTTTGGAGGGGGGTTCTTTTTTAAAGATTCATCATTTAGAGAGAGAGACTGGAAGAAATTATAGAAAAAAAGAGTACTGAGGACCCTTGACTTACAAACTCAATTCGTTCCCGAGGCTGGTTGTAATTCGAGTTGTTCTATTGAAGGCTCAGGCTCCTCTACACAGCCTTCAAAGTCCCTCTCCTGTACACAGGCAGATCTCAGTGTCCTTAGAGAGACACTGGCCCAGGATTTCTCAGGTACCCCACACAGGAAAGGATGTTGGAGTGTTCCTTCCAGAACTCTTTAAGAGTTAAATCTGTATCTGAGACCATCTGGAGGCACAAGTGGTTGGCATTCAGGTTGTAATTCAAGACTTTGGTTGCAAGTAAAACTAAAATTCTGGTCATAACCCAAGTTGTTCGTATGTCAGGCCAGTCATAACTCAAGGATCCACTGTACAATGGCTGGGATTTGGTTCCACATGGTGAATGGGGATCTAGATATAATGTGATAACTGGAGAAGCTAGTTTTGGGGAACATGAACTTACTATACCAGTCTTTCTATTGTTACGTATGATTGAGATTTTCCTGATAAAACTTTTTTTAAAGCGATACCACTACACACAATGGAATACTAATCGTAAGACAGGAAGTGCCAATGTTGGCAAGAATTTGAGACAGGGGCCAGGGGTTTAGCTCAGTGGTTCCGTCGCCTGCCTCTGCAAGCGCAAGGTCCCGAGTTCGATCCCCGGTACCAAAAAAAAAGAAAAAGAATGTGAGACAGTGCTCCCATGAGCTGCTGGGAGTATAAATTGGCACAACCACTTCGAAGAGCCATAGGTCAGCACTGAGTACGGCAGCCGTGGGTTTACACCATGGGCCTGGAGTCCCACCCATGATGGACTCCTAGCAGAAATGCATATATAATACATGCACCAAGAGAAAGCTCATGCCAGCACTGTTTTCAGTAGCTCCCACCCCCCCAAAATAGAAACACAGATGTGCAAAGGTCCACTGAGATCAGGATAGACAAGCTGTACATTTGCACAGTGTGATAATATATAATAACAAAAGGCACGAACATCAATGAATCTTACAGCGCAGACAAAAGAAGTCAGATACAAAAGAGGCCAAACTGCAGATTCTTTCCACGTACACATGACGGAAAAACAAATCTAGTCTCTAGTGTTGGAAGCTCATGTGCTGGCTACCTGCGGGCCAAGGGCTGGGGCAGAGCTTAAGAAGGGATAGGAGGCCCAAGGATTTAGCTCACTGGTTCCGCCGCCTGCCTCACAAGCGCAAGGACCGGAGTTCAATCTCCGGTACAAAAGAAAAAAAGGGACAGGAAGGAGGTCCCTTCCCAGAGGTTAGTCATGTTCTAGCTGTTGCTCCATGAGTGGTAAGAGGTGCCCTTGCTATTTCTGCATTCTTCCATGTTTTACTTCCACGAAAAAGTGAAAAATAAAGTAAACTGGGCATGGTGGCACAGGCCTGTAATCCCACAGACTCCAGAGGCTGAGGCAGGAATATCACAAGTTTAAGGCCAACCTAGGCAATTTAGAGATCCTTGTATCAAAGTAAAAATGTTTTTTTAAAGGGCTAGGAATGTAGCCTCATGGGAGAGTGCTTTCCTAGCACGTAGGAGGTCCTAATTTAATCCCTAGTACTACAAAAAGCAAAACAAACAAACAAAAAAGTTAACAAAAAATGAAGCAAAGTTAATGCTTATTAAATTTAGGTGGTGGGTATATAGGTTTTCATAATACTGTTTCCTAAAAGACTTCTGTTTGACTATTATTAATAAAAAGTCAAAATAAAACAAAAGCATTGTGGAGTAGGGGAACAGGACAACTCTGTCCTAAATCCACATGTTCTCAAAAGTATATGTTATGGCTTGTGTCTAGATAGCCCCCTAAAGCCTCATACACTCATAGGTGGGGCTTTATGAGGCAGTTGGATCTAGGGTGTGTAAATATGGATTAAAGGTGTGATAACTGTATTAGTCCACTACTTGGATTATCATGCCTCTGGGTGTGGCTGGATGGATTAAATGAGGACAGAAGACCCAACATATCCCAACACATATGTGAGTGGCACCAACCAACAGGCTTGCAGCCTGGATGGAATAAAAAGGGAAAGAGAGGCTTGCCACTGCTTCCTGCTTCCTGCCTGCCTTGCCATGGACTGTTTCTATTCTGTCACACCCCTCTGCCATGCTGGCCTTCCTTGGAGCCAGCCAACTATGGACTGAAACCTCTACAAACTGGGAACTAAAATAAACCTCTCCTCCTTTAACTTGTGGGTGTTGGTATTTTGTTCCAGCAACACAAAAGTAACTAAGACATTATGTTTAACTGTAACAAACTAGATAATACATTATCTAGTTGCATAAGATTCCTTTTTTCTAATCTAGAAATGGTTGGCTGCAAATCAAAACCTCTGCCCCCCAAAATTCTGCAGTCATTACTGCTCATGTCATTCCATATACACATTCATCTTAGATCAAACATTATTCAGCCAAAATAAAGACAGCAAAGGATTTTAGAGCCTGTGGCAGCTACTTTTTTAAAAATGCTACTTTCACCTCATTACCTTAACCTATTAACATGGTATTTAGTACAGAAGGCTTGCCCTAGGCGCCAGCTGCTATTTTGCTTTTGTTTTTGTAGAATTTCAAGTTTTGGATGAGCCAGGTTTGATGAAGAGTAAATATTTGTGCATAACTGTAAATATCTGGGGGTATTAGGAATTAGCAGCTGGTGATTTCAAATACAATTATCCTAACTTTAAAACTTTCACTATGCTTTTCTAAACTGGTAGGGAATGACAAGGGAAACCTTACCTTTCCAACAAATGGAACAAGGTGATGTTCACACATGGAGTACATATCGATGTCCTTTACAATCACCATCTCATCATGATCTTCATCAAATATAGCATCATTCAGGACATCTGAAATCAGAGGCTTGCCTTAGTAACCTTTCCAATTTTATAGAAAAATACAATGTCCAAAAGCCTCTATGATTAAATATGAAAAGATAGTAAACATTAAACAGAATATTGATCTTGCAGAAAAAGGAAATACAAACTAAAATGAGTTAATTTTCCCATTCAAATTAGCAAAGTTTTTTTCTTTAAATGATATAAAAGAATCCTTAAAAAAAAAAGAATCCTTAATACTGTGCTACATGGGAAATGCAGGATTATAAATATTTCTACAGTATGATAAAGAGGGGTGAAGAGGGAGAAAACAGGTATGCCAGAATAAAAGTGGCTATTTCTGGTGGTAGAAATGGGCCACTTTCACTCTCTTTTTCTTTTTCTGTTTGGTTGCGCTTTTTTTTTTTTTTTTTTTGGTATCAGGGATTGAACTCGGGACCTTGCGCTTTCGAGGCACTTTTGGGTTTTTTGTTTTTGTTTTTTTTTTGGTACTGGGGATCAAACTCGGGTCCTTGTGCTTGCACAGCAGGTGGCAAAACCACTGAGCTAAATCCCTGGCCCTTTGGGGTTTTTTTTTTGACACAGGATCTCTCTATGTAGTTCAGACTGGTCTTGAACTCACTGGTCCACACTGGCCTCAAACTCATAACAAACTCCTGCCTCAGGATCACTGTGAGGTTAAGGCCAGACTGGGCTACACAGTGAGTTCAAGGCCAGCCTGAACTACACAGTAAGACCCTGTCTCAAAAAATCAACACCAAACAAATGATTTAACCTCTATTTTCAATTCCCCAAATAATTTTGTAGACCTATAACACTTTTCAGTTACTATAGGTGGGCATCAGACTTGTTCTACCTAAACCGTCGCCTTCCTAAGGAAATAAACCCCAGTGTTTGTATGTAGACACCTCACTGGGGAGGTCTGGGGGACACCAGTGACTTGGGCAAGCTATGAACCCTAGCACACACGGCAAGCTACAACAGGCGTCTGAAAGGCCTTCCTATTATAAACTGTACTAGCCAAGCTTCAGAATCTTATTTGCAAAACAGAAATTAATGTGAAGATGCCTGAGGGATGCTGAGCTTTCTGATGCTCGAACTGCAAGAACACCCTGACCTGATCCTGGCGGGATGAAGGACAAGAGCCCCATCCTTGCCATGGCAACCCAGCCGTGGTGCCCAACCCTCACCATGGCAACCCAGCCATGGTACCCAATCCTTGCCATGGTAACCCAGCAGTGGTATCCAAACAGCAGTGTAGGTGAATGCCTGGTGACAAGGAGGATTCTTCAGCTCTACTGTCTTCAAAAGAGAAAAGAAGCTACAAGCAAGGACAGTTGCATGTCCTTTTACAAAATAAATATATACCTAGAAAAAGTCCTGCGCTTCTACTTGCCCAGCTTGGCAGACCCAATATGGCAAGACACTTTGCTGTGTGACTGTAAGGACTTGAGGGACACTCAGTCTTCACAGTATGACCTGGAGAGGAGAAGAGATGAAGTCCTTGGAAAGGCAGGCTGCATGAGTCAGGCGCAACTCGCAGACGTCCGCCCACAGCCCTGACCCTAGTGCCTCAGGGCTGGCAGACCCTGAGTCACATGGAAAGCAGTCACCAGCCCCGAGTCAGGCCAGTCACAGACGCGGGGGACCGTGCAGCTGGCAAGTCCTGAGTGTGGCCAGGGAAAGTGTGTGCAGTGTAGACCACACAGATGACACAGAAGTGACCTCTGCTAGGAGTTGCTGGTGAAAACCCAGGGAGGAAAAAGCTCACTGTCATTCTGGAAGTTCCTTCTCCAAAAGCAATTTTCTATTCTGAATATTCTGCCCCAATCTTCCATCATATTTTGGAAGAAGTCCAAAAATAGCTCCTCAGTGAGCCTGAAGTACCCTAGATTTCTCCAAGATGTTGCTACAATGTCACTTCCTATTGAGCTTATTAACGTCTTCGGTCATACAAGAAATAGTCCTGAAAGTAAAGACAAACAGAAATTTCCTAAGGAGCAAGAGGACTGTCAAATGTCAGACAAATTCATTTTCTGTGGCAAAAAAGGAAAAAAAAAAATCCCCAGACTAAGCATGGGTGACAGCCACATGCCGCTGTGGGGATCTGGTTCTCATTTACTGGCTCTGGGACCTTGGGCAAGACATTCTGTGCCTCAGTCCTCTTGGCTGTGAAATGGGCATGAATAAAGCACCAACTTCACAGGGACGTCATGGGGATTAAATATGCTCATCACCATGTCAGCGAAGTTAGTCATTGCTCTTAGAATCAAGGCCAGCAGAATTGCTAAACTATGGGTCTTGTGTACACTAAAGTTAAAAAGTGATAATGTGCCTGTGGCAGAGTCCAAAGGAGAACAGTGACTTCCTGTGAGACTTTAGAGTGGAGACACCTACAGATGACACTTTAACCAAATGACTGTGGCTAATTTTACCAGGAGGGAGACAGGACGCTATGTACTCCTAGTATGACACGTTGCCTCTGTGGGATTCATTCCAATAATATAAAACGATATTCTAGTCATCAGGAAAATGGAAGGATGTCCTACAAAATACCTAAATAAGTACTCTTTTAAATCACCAAGAAGCCAGATGTGGTGGTACACACCTGTAATCCCAGCACTCTGGGAGGCTGAAGTAGGAGGATCACAAATTCAAGCCTCGCCAGGGCATCTTAGTGAGAATCTGTCTCAAAATTTAAAAAGGGCTAGGATGTCACTTAGTCTGAAGGCTCTAGGCTCTATACCCGGTACAATCAAAAAACAAAAAAGACATAGAAATACTGAGGAACTGTCAGATTGGGGGAGATAAGATAAACAAAACTAAATGCAATGAAAAAACTAAAATCTGAATGAATACTGCAGCTTATACTATTGTACCAATATTAATTTCTAAAATACAATAATTGTAACCATAGCCATGAGATGTTTCATTAGAAGGAGCTTTGAGAAAGATATAGGACAACTGTAGTGCTTTTGTAATTGTTCTTTAAGTCTAAAATTATTTCAAAATAAAAAATACAAGATGTGAGACCGATCTGGCTGCGACATCTGTCACCCCACAGATCGCCAGGGTTGACTCAGCTGATCTGGCTGGCTAGGCGGGTGTCCCTACCTGCCTCTCTCACCGCTCTATGTGAGGCCCTTCCAAAGCTCCCAACCAGGTCAAAGAGGGCAACCACCCCCATAGAGGGACCGTTTCCTGGGTCACGGGTATGCAGGTAGCTGCGTCCTCCTGCTAGAACCTCCAAACGAGCTCTCAAAATAAAAAAATACAAATAGAACAATGTCCATCAGGCAAAAGTATAAACAATGTTGTGCTATTTGGTGTTAAAATAGAGTGAATTAGGGCCGGGGATGTAGCTCAACAGCATAGCACCTGCCTGGCCAGCGTGAAGTCCTGAGTTTGATCCTCAGTACCAAGAAATAATAATAAAAAATAAAAATAATTTTTAAAATAGAGTGAATTACATGTAAGAACACAGATGCAGATACCAAGAATTTGTTTATGGTTGGATTTTTTTCTTATAGCAAAGCATATATTGGTGCATTTTAGGCATACATAATGATAACACTCATCATAGGGAGTCTGCACCTGTACATCCCACCTAAGTAGTATTCTCAGTGAAAGAAGCCACATACATACACAGAAAAGACAACCGTCGTGCACAGCATGATGACAGGTCAGCCAATGACAGATCTCAAATACAATGGCAGTCCCATAAGACCACAGCTGTCTTAGTTTGTGTAAGTGTGATCTATAAGGTATGCATGATGAAATCACCTAGCAACTGTACCTAGGTATCAGATTCAGGGAAGACAAAACTATAGTGACAGCAGACGGGTTTATCAGGGGCCAGAAAACTGAGACAGAGGATTCGGCTACAAAAGCATAGCAAGAAACTTTTTTGGGTACTGAAAAAGGCATCTATCTCACTATACTGGTGACTGCACAACTATATATATCTGCCAAGTCTCACATGGTGTGTCCAGAGCTCGTGAATGCCACTGAACCCTAGTTATACCCTAATCAAGCTAACTTTTAAAAATAAGTTTTAGCCAGGGATACAGCTCAGTGGCACAGCACCTGCCTGGCAACCACGAGGTCCTGAGTTCAATCCCAATACCAAAAAAAAAAAAAGAAGAAGAAGAAGAAGACTAAAAATAAGTTTTAAAAATGGTAGTACAGAATGTGATCATTTTGCAAAGAAAATCAAGAGAGGAAGATTAAACATATACACACATACATGTTTATCTACAGAAAGAAAGACCGGAAGGATAAATCAAACAGCTAATAAAAATGACAGTCTATGAAGGACAAAGAGATAAGGGAGATAGATAAAAATAAGACATCCACGAATATAATTATTTGACTTTGAACACAAAAGTATTTACATCCTCAAAATAAAATTAAACCAAAAAGAAAAAAAGACTAGTAACTGTCATATGGCTTAATGCCCCATGTGGTAATGGAATACTGATACGCTGCCTAGAGCTCCTTTCATCAAAATGAACACAGACTATAAACTCGAACTAGCTGAATCATTTTTCTTCAATAATGAAGTTTCCTGGCCATATTTACTTATGTTTTGCTCCAGTGTATCTGAAGGCGACCATCTGTGAATAATAAGAACAAAACACTATCACAGATTGTTTTAATTTCCTGCCTGTTATCAGCAGCAAGAAGGTAACCCTGGAAACGAGGATTTATGGCATTCTATTTCCTAGCCTGGTCCTGGTCGCACAGGAAACCAATGCAGCCTTACAAGTTACAGGTTCATTTGCACCTGGCCGCAGGTCCCTGGCTCGTGGCTTTAATGACCAGGCCATGACAGCAAAGAGTACCACCAGGAAGCTGAGGAGGTGCAGGGAGAGCCCACCGTTTGTCCAAGCAGGGATATGAGAGAACTCCTGGGAAAGTCTCCCCAAAAGGAAATTTCCATCCAACAGATATTTTGAGGGGTTGTCCATTATTTCTATTTTTACTAATGGTTCAGGAATTAATGTTACGCAACTTGAGGTGGCCCATGTGTGTACTCCTAGCACTCAGGAGGCTGAGGCAGGGGGATTGAGGTCAGCCTGGGCTCAAGATCAGCCTGAACTTAGATGTCTTAGAAGATGAAGGATGGCTTAGGATACAGAATGTGCATCCACCTGAAGGGACAGGGAAAAGATACCAGGGTCTGCCTCTGCATGAGACACAAAGGGAGGCATGTGGCTCCTAGGACTGTGATACGGCGTCATACAACCCTCCTGGGTCATAAGCTAGAGAGGATTAGTGTTGCATCCTAGGCTCTGGAGTTCCTACAACGCCCTGTCACACCATGCACAAAGCCAGAGTGAGACACGGATCTTCTGGGTGCATCCAATTAATACGACTGTCTCTATCTACCCTGTGAGTCACTTCCTTAAAATAGAGCTTATAATGAGAGGACTCTGAGCCTAGCACAGTTACGTATGACTGTAATCCCAGTGAGTCAGGAGGCTGAGCCAGGAGGATTGCAAGTTCGAGGCCAGCTTGGACAATTTAGTGAGACCCTTTCTCAAAATTTTAAAAGGTCAAAAAGGTTAGGACATAGCTCAGTGGTAGCATGCTTGCCTAGCATGCACAAGGTCCTGGGTTCAATCCCCAGCACTACAAAAAATAAAAAATTTTTTACAAAAGGAAAAGAAAGGGACTCCAAAGAAATTCTTGTGGCCAAGGGAACCTAAGAATTCTCACTGCAGCCTACTGGTAATAGTAGAAATTGGAAGAGGTGTAAATGGGAAGAATATTACACAGTTTGGGTAGAGTCATTCAGAAATACGAGCCAGCAGTGAAGGTAAATGAATCTGAGCTGCATTTATAAATCCCTGAACTCATGTTAACGGGAAAAGCAAGAAGCAGGAGGATATGTGGAACATGACTCATTTCATTAAATGAAATGGTGCTGCATGCTGTGTGGGGACACATAATAGAAAACGGAAGGACACAGACAGACAGGAAGTGCGGAACCACTACCGGCGCTCTCATTTTCGTCAAAGCTCACCTGGCACTAGGCCGCTCCAGACACTGCTTCTGCACTCAACCAGACGGAGCTGGTGTGCACTGCCCACGAGCTGAGACAGGGACAGCTAGGGCGACGCGAACGCACTTCACAAACAGCAAGCGCTCAGGAGGAAGGGGCCAGGGTACTGCACAGAAAGGGAAACTCTGGATACCTGGGGGGGTTCACTCTTGTCACCTTTGGCAGAGAGAAAGTTGCATTTTTCTTAGGCTCTGGGCGGGGTGGACCCTGGACTCATGCTGCGCCCAGGCTCCTCCTCCAAGCCCATTCTCGGTTCTGTGAGGGGCCTGGGGGTTTTCTATACCGAACCAAGGAAGGAAAAGCGCCTGCCTTAAACTATTCCGATTCGCTGGGGAAAACTGAAGGTTATCTACCAATCACAATCCCATCCTGGCCTCAGCTTACTACTCTGAATATTTTGGAGAGATCAAAA